TTATTGGGCCCGTGCGTAAGGGAGTTTATGCCCAAGTATAATATATAATATTCAATGACTCTCCAAATTTCATTTGTGTCACATAAATTGAGACAACAAAAATAACATATATTGGGTCCATTTTAATTTATTTGTCTTATTTTTTTTAAATTTTTTATATTTAAAAATTGCGTAAAAATACTATAAATCATGATAATTGACAACATAAAATATGTTTTGAAAAAGATACAAAAAATTCCATTGATTCTTGAAGTTAATCTATCGTAAAAATACTATAAATCATGATAATTGACAACATAAAATATGTTTTGAAAAAGATACAAAAAATTCCATTGATTCTTGAAGTTAATCTATCGTAAAAATACTATAAATCATGATAATTGACAACATAAAATATGTTTTGAAAAAGATACAAAAAATTCCATTGATTCTTGAAGTTAATCTATCGTAAAAATACTATAAATCATGATAATTGACAACATAAAATATTTCAAAAATAAATACATTTAAAAAAATTCGATTGATTCTTGAAATTAATCTATCGTTAAAAATTATGTATAAAATACAATAAATCGTGATAATTGACAACTTAAAATATTTATTAAGAAAACAGGAAAAAAAAATTGACTGATTCTTAAAATTAAATCGTGATAATTGACAACATAAAATTGTTCAAAAATGTTATATGTGGGTAGTCTTATTGTGCCTTGAATAGCGTCAAAGAAAGTACAGGTTTGTGATAAAAAAACTTATTCCTTTATCCACGCAAATAATCGCTTCAAAAATTTCGTTATTAGCCCCAAAACATACCATTTATGTTATTGGGCCTGTGCATAGCACAGGCAACAAAATCTAGTGTTTAAAGAAGAAGGAGAAAAAAAAATTGAAAAAATAATACTTAATTAACTAGTTAAATACACGTGTCAAGTGCGTGTGTTTCACTACAAGACACATATCTAGTTATGACATTTCAAGGGGTTATATACAGAACAACTTTCACATATAGCAAACATACAAGATTTGTATGTTATAGCTATAGTTTGCATAATTGCGCTCCATAACAAATTTTATGTTTGCTATGGAGCATTTGATTTGTATAATTCGCTAGATACATCAAATTTTATATAAATTGTTCAGTTTTGTATAAATTCATTGTAATTTACATAATAAGATTTGTATTTATATAATTATAAGGGGTAATTTGGTTGGAAACAAGTTATCCCAGGATAAGTTATCTTGGGGTTAGCTATCCTGGGATAACTTATCACATCAATATGATATAAATGGTGGTATAAGTTATCCCAAACAGGAAAACCAAACAATATAAATTTTTTTTATCCCATCACTATTATTTTTAATCCCTCACACCAAACGAGCTCTAAGTGTATAGGATGAAAATATATATATTTGTATTTGTATATATACTTTTCTCTCGCTTTATACAAACACAAACACATTTTATACAGAAATATATAAAATGACTAATTATATACCGAAAATGGTTAATTGTATATCGAATCAGATGGCAAAAAAAAGGACGCTTACTGTGAATTACAATTAAAATAAACTATGGCTATAATATTTAATTTGAATTATAATTTGCTATTTCGTACAATTTTCCCTTATATATTTCACTTTAAAAATATTTAGGGGTAATAGAACTCCCGTAAAGTATGAGTGTGTAATTGAGAATCCAACAATAGATTAGGGGGCTTTTGCCCATTTTCTCTATTCTAAATTAAATTTTTATCTTTTAGGATAAACTCTAATCATACACTATATTTTAAGACTTCAAGTATAAAATTACGCTAGTTTATTAACCAACATTACATTATATCATTACATCCTACTCACACATTTCACAAAGCACATAACATGAAATTAAAATGCAACTAGTAATATTACTGCAATAGCTTTAACGCCACTGCTAGTTAGGGTTACATTAATTTCACGGCCATCCGCCGCCATACCCACCACCGTACCCTCCGCCGGTTCCACTACCAGGGCCGCCAAATCCTCCACCGGTTCCACTACCAGGGCCGCCAAATTCTCCGCCAGTTCCACTACCTGGGCCGCCAACATTACCGCCTGCTCCGCCGCCAATATTACCGCCACTGCCGCCTACGCCAGCGCCAATTCTGCCGCTTCCACTTACTCCACCACTAACCCCACCGCTGCCGCCTATTCCAATGCCAGGTGGACTGCCGGCAGTACCACCTCCCATGCCGCCAGCACCAGCACCGACACCTGCACCGGCTCCGGCACCGATCCCGACGCCAACCCTACCTTCAGCTCCTCCACTAATGGGCCCAGCTCCCATACCCAACCTTCCTCCGACGCCGGCGCTAACGCCACCACTAATGGATCCTCCTAGACCCGGCCCAGTTGGCTCACCTGTTTCATAAACACAATAATACTAGTGAATAATTATGACGAGAGATTACGAACTATCAAATTAGCTACGAATTTCATCGTTAAATTGTCTAATATCTAACAAAATAAGGTAGCAATTTTTCTTTCAGCGGTCGCTACCCTTTAGATGCACACTAAAAAAATTGTTTTTGTTTTAGTAATATCTTGTGAATCACTCAGGAATTGTAAATTATAGGAGTACGCTAGACACGTCTCAAGCAACAAACTCAACTAAAAAAGTGTTGACAAGGAGAATCGAGCTCTAACCTTCTTAATTATGGATAATATCTGCTGCACTCACTTATCGAACTGTAATTTATAGATAAGTTCGATGCAACAAACAAACTCAACTAAACATGTGTTGATAGAGAAATCGATCACTAATCTTTCTTATGAATACAAAGAGATGGATTTTTAACCTTGTTTAAATATTATCTGTTGCACTGACTCAGCGACCATATATTGAGTTGAAAGAAGGTCATTTGGAGGTTGTAACCATCATTTCTCTTAATTCAAAACTTAAATTTATCTTCAATTTTAGTAAAAACATTGAAAATTTCAAGTACTTTTATACATAAAGTTTTCTAATTTGTTAACAATATTACTAAAAAACATCTGAGGTTCCATTACCAGCAGCAAATCCACCAGCACCAATATTATTATCTAATCCACCTTGATAATCAGTAACTCCATATTTTGCTGCAGCAAGAGACTCGTTTTCACTTGGTAAATTTCTAGCACAAACAAGAAAAGCTCCAAGTGAAAACACAAAAAGAAGTAATAAATTTTTAGCCAACATTTTTTCTAGCAATTTAGAAATTTAATATTATCCAAAAAGAGTTACTATAATATAATAAAAGTTGTGTGAGAATTTTGAAGGATTGTAAAGGGGATTTTATAGGCTGAAAAATCCAAAAAACTCAACGGTACACTGAATTTTCATTCATTATACGTAAATGAATGCATGAATTTTATTTTGACATTTGTAAGCCATGCACGTAAAAATTTAATTTAGTGTTATCATCACAACTTTGAAGTAGTTGACTCTGTATACATTAAATTGATGAACATTTAATTTTGATTTTGACATATCATGTAAATACTACGGACAAAAGGATTTTATATACTCTGTGTTACTGTGTATGCTGAATCCAACTGTTTTAACTTTTCACTAGGATCGTGAAATCAATAATTTGAATCGATAATAGAGTTATTAACGGCTAATGATTTGAGTTATTGGTTTGATGGTTTTATAAATGTTTAGGGCTTTATGATTATTGAATAATTGGTTTTGGACGTCTCAGTTTTGACCACTTTCTTTAACGAGCTAATTAATTGATAACCTGATCATAAGAAAAAAAAGTTATATTTTTATTCTTACGTATATTTATTCGAAATACTTTCGGATTATATATCCTAAAAATATTTGTTAGAATTGATTACTGATCTTAAAATAGTTTTTCTCAATCGTGAATTTTATTAGATGAATATGACTTTCTTCCATAGAAGTAATCTCACCAATTACCCAATAATATTGTAGATGTGTAAGAAAGTCATATAATTTAATCGGGATCAACTCTTTACAAGAGGTGAGTGAGATTTTTTTATTTAACTCTCACCATTCTTAGTTTATTATATGAGAAAAGGAATAGTGATCAATTAAACAAAAAAGTCATAACTATAAGCATAAATATGCCTATATTATTCACTAATTATTTATTTAAATGGAACAATTGCTAACTTTAAATAGTGAAATTAAATATTCTCATATATATACTAAGCTTATTAAATAAACATAAAATTAAATTAAATATGCCACAAATTTATTAGATCAAATGCCACCACCGCCGAAACCTTCACCGATCCCAAATCCAAAACCACTACCACCATTCTCTCCGCCGCCGCCACCGCCTCCACCACCACCGCTACCGCCTAAGCCGGACCCGTGGCCACTACCAAAGCCAAATCCAAATCCGCCACCGTTTCCGCCACTAAAACCACCACCTCCTCCACCGCCACCGCCGCCACTACTGCCGCCAGCTCCTCCGATAATCTGACCAAATCCTAAGCCATTTACACCAGCTGGGATCTCAAAAACTGTAGCTACTGCATCTCCTAGGAGTATTCTAGCTGACGTGTCACGTGTAAATACTCCGAAAAATATTAGAAAAATAAATGCCTTTGAATATTGTGTTGATACTGCATGAAAATAAATGTACATCATATATAAGTTTTTATTTTGATGAGATTATTAAATAATGGAAATTATCTTGTTACAACAGGTTAAAATAAATATATAGTTTAAAACATTTATACTATTAGTTTAAATATTAAATTTGAAGAATCCTTACTTTTCATTCTTGGTGTTTGTATTTGTGTGGAAAAGATAAAAGAGATTTTTCAAGATATATATAATTATACACAATGTCAAGAGTTTATATTGTAGAGATAAATTGCTGAAGATAATTAAATTCTCGATAATTAATGTGAGAACCAAAACTGAACATAAGTAATTATATTTGTAACAGTAATATTTAATGGGTGAAAAATTATCCACTTAAAAGTCTTCATAAAATTTGAATTATAACGCACATTCTCTTCCTCTAATTAATTTTCTAAAGGTTTTGAGCAAATCTAAAACTTTATGATAATTCTTTTCTTACCTTAAACAACAAACAACATTATTCTAATTACTCTTGTAGATAAAAAAAGACATTTTTTAAAGAGCATCAACTTAAATAACGTATTAAGCGAGTTAGCAAAAAGAAAAAATAGAGAAATAAAAAGAAAGTTCTTAATATTTATACTTGATGTAACTTCATGAAGTAACATAAATACCAGAGATTAGAGAACTGGAGTAAACACTATTTTTAATTTTGATGTTTAATGAATACATAATCATGAGAAGAATGACGGGAAGAAATTCGTGTCGTCTTATTTATTGCTGAAATAATTATATTATCTGTTCCGTTAATTTTATTTGTCCACTATTTTAAAAATATATTTATTTATTTCATTTATTACTTTTATAATATCAAGAAAAGATAAATATTTTATCTTTTAAAAAAACGTCGTGTCGTTGAAAACTTGAAAACCTCTTCTCAGATACCTAAATAGAAACAACTGAGAATAAAAGACATAAAACGCATTCAGCGAACGCGATTTATGAGTATAATTCCGTGTCTTCTTATTTATTGTTGAAATTACTATACTACCCTTTCTGTTTAATTTAATTTCCCACTATTTAAAAAAAATTGTTTATTTCATTCATTACTTTTATAATATCAAGAAAAAAAAATATTTTATCTTTTAAAAAAAGTCATATCGTTAAAAACTTGAAAAAATATTTCTAAGATACCTAAATAGAAAGAACTGAGAATGAAAGGCATAAAACGCATTCAGCGAATGCGATTTATGAGTAAAATTTTGTGTCTTCTTATTTATTGTTTAAATTACTATATTACCCCTTCCATTTAATTTTATTTGTCCACTATTTTAAAAATATATTTATTTATTTCATTTATCTTTTAAAAAAAGTCATGTTGAAAACTTTAAAAAAACCCTTCTCAGATACATAAATAGAAAGAGGTGAGGATAAAAGTCATAAAACGCATTCAACGAATGCGATTTATGAGCAAAATTCCGTGTCTTCTTATTTATTGCTGAAATTACTATATTACCCCTTCCGTTTAATTTTATTTGTCCACTATTTTAAAAACATATTTATTTATTTCATTTATTACTTTTATAATATCAAGAAAACATAATATATTTTAGGGAAAAGGGTCTAATATACCCCTCAACTTTGTCATTTAGAGCTGATATGCCCCTCGTTATGAAAGTGGCTCATATATACCCCTACTTATATACAAATGGCTCACATATACCCTTCCCTCTAACGGAAATGAAAAAGAAAAAATTTAGTTTAAGTTTTTATTATTTTTAAAAAAAAAAAACTATAATCCCATACGAGTATATTTAATCTTCCTCAAACATATTTTTTTTGTTTCAATGGCTAATTTGGATTTATTATTTTGATGGTCAAATTTATTTATGTTTCACTAATATTCTTGTAAAACTTATTATAGATGACCAAATTTTTTTTCTTCAAATACAAAAATTAAATTACATTATAGAATTAAAAAAATTATTTTAAATTATAATATAGCCACAAAACAATAGTTTTAAATTTTTTTCTTTACACTAAGGAAATGAAAGAAAAAATAAAATAAGAATAAGAAACTAAAATAATGAAGATCAAAGAAGTCAAAAAATAATTTATGTATGAAAAAATTGAAATATACCTTGAACTTTCTAGAAGAATCCTATATACCCCTAAATGATTTTTTTTAAAAAAATAAAAGTCAAAAATATAAGTTTAAAATTAATTTTTTCACTTCCGTTAAATGAAGGGTATATGTGAGCTCATTTTGTAACGGTAGGGGTATATGTGAGCCGTTTGTATAACGGTAAGGGTATGTATGAGTCACTTTCATAACGAGGGGCATATCAGCTCCAAATATCAAAGTTGAGGGGTATATCAGACCCTTTTCCCTATATTTTATCTTTTAAAAAAAGTCGTGTTGTTGAAAACTTGAAAACTCCTTCTTAGATACCTAAATAGAAACAACTGAGAATGAAAGACATAAAACGCATTCAGCGAACGCGATTTATGAGTAAAATTTCGCGTCTTCTTATTTATTGTTGAAATTACTATACTACCCCTTCCGTTTAATTTTATTTGTTCACTATTTTTAAATTTTATTTATTTAGTTCATTTATTACTTTTATGATAACAAGAAAAGATAAATATTTTATCTTTTAAAAAAGGTCACATCGTTGAAAACTTGAAAAAACTCTTCTCAGATACCTAAATAGAAAGAACTGAGAATGAAAGGCATAAAACACATTCAACGAATGCTATTTATGAGTAAAATTCTGTGTCTTCTTATTTATTTTTGAAATTATTATACTACCCCTTCCGTTTAATTTTATTTGTCTACTAGTTTTAAAATATATTTATTTATTTCATTTATTACTTTTATAATATCAAGAAAAGATAAACATTTTATCTTTCAAAAAAACGTCATATCATTGAAAACTTGAAAAAATCTTTCTCAGATACCTAAATAGAAAGAGCTGAGAATGAAAGGCATAAAACGCATTCATCGAATGCGATTTATGTGTAAAATTTTGTGTCTTCTTATTTATTGCTGAAATTACTATATTACCCCTTTTGTTTAATTTTTTTTGTCCACTATTTTTAATATATATATATATATATATATATAGATCATTATTTTTTGTTATCTAAATAGAGAGATTTCAGTTAAGATAAAATTATATCCCTTGCGAGTTAAGTCATACTTTAATTTGTTTGTATCCTTTTTGACGATTTCATTTGCGTATAATTAGAGCTAAATTGAACATAAATATTGTTAGTCGATCGATAAATGCTTCTTTATTCATAATTTTGCATTCTTATATCAGAATAATCTGAACAACAAATACTAATATGTTTTATTAAATTATTTTACTGAGCATGATAAAGTATTTATTTATTATACGTATTTGGGGGAATAAATCGTATCAGCCATATAGAAATTGGAGACAGGATCAAATTGGTAGTAATTTTGTAGCTGGGGTGATGCAGATTTTAAATTAATGAATTATGAAATATCAAATATTAAATAGTTATAAAAGAGTAATTTGTTAGCATTTCGCGATGAATATATATAAAGAAAAAAATTGAACTACTCTACTCAATTTAAAATAAAATTCATTATTTTCAATAATAAAATCAGACAATCAAATTAATCGTGAATTCCCTTAAAACTTTGGCCACCACCAAAACCTTGTCCGCCCCCAAACCCTACATTACCGATTTGACCACCAATGCCTCCTCCTCCGCCACCTCCCATAGAAACCGAACCATCTCTACCTATGCTTCCACCTATTCCGCCACCTCCACCACCACCAATTGACCCAACACCGGGTACACTTACTTGACCACCAACACCAACACCTACTCCAAAATCCATGCCATCGGGACCAACGTGTCCTCCACTACCACCTCCACCTCCAAATGAGCTACTAACTCGTGGAATCTTATTATTATTATAATTATCGGGAAAATCTAACCCGATAAGATTTCGAGCGGAACTTGTGTACATTAAAGTTCCCAAAATTATCATAATCATGAAATTCGAAGTCATATTTGTATGCAATATTTTTTTAAATTGCTAAAAACCTATTTCGTGAGTTAGGAATTGTTAGGACAGAATTTATAACAATGTATAATTTATAGTTAGAACTTGTATGTAATGTATATAAATGCAACTCTAGATTAATAGAGATATAAGAAACGGAAATTTTGCATTAATTTAGAAATTTACAATATGTAACATGTAACTTTATTAAGTATGAATTAATGAACAATATTGTTTACTAGAAGTTCAATGAATATAATCAAATAGTAGGGAAATAATATCAGCTATGAAGTTTGTAAACTTTTCCTCTTAATAATGTGTATTTTTAAATATATATTTTAATTTTTTTAATTTATATACTTTTTACTTGGTTTTTAAATTTTATTTCAAAGAACCTAAAAATTCCATGTCCATATTCACTAGCAAATTAAAAGTAAAAGATTTGACTCGTTAAATTCAAACAACAACATATAAAATGAGAGCTGAGAACATGCATTTGTTTGAGTCATGAAATTGAAAAATTGTTTGATAAAATATGCCTTTTCTTTTCTTGGGGGGTTATTCATAATAAGTCAAAATTAATCGAATCAGTAAATATTAAACACCATTAAGATAATTTAAAGTATTTGTCTCAAGGATGCAAGTTGTTTACGTTTTGGTGCTACTTTCTGCCTCTGATACTTTAATTACCCCATTCGTTTATTTTTATCTTTTCATTATATATAAGTAAATTTTTATTTTATGTTCACTTAAGAAGAAGAATTTTTTATATATATTGCCAATTGGAGAAATAAAATACACTACATCTCGACTTTTAATAAATCTCCTTGATTTTTATTTTATTAAAGAGAGGAGGAACTGAAAATAAGATAGAAAGGAAAAATTGCAACAAAAAAAGAAGTAGAAGCATGCATGAATAGTATTTCATGCATGCTTGAGTAGAGTACATTATGCATGCATTGGCTTGTGTTCACGGTATTCCACCTCCTCCATAATCTTTACCTTCCCCTTCACCACTGCCATTATTCCCATCCATTCCCCCACTACCACTACCGCTACCTCCTCCCCCTCCTCCTCCTGCACCAGATCTAGTTCCATTACCATAACCATAACCAGAACCACCATCTCCTGTTCCTCCGCCACTACCTTCACCACCTCCATATCCTCCACCACCACTGCCTTCACCATACCCTTCCCCAGAACCATAACCGGAGCCATCTCCTGTTCCTTCACCACTTCCTCCCCCACCCCCACCCCCACCTCCATATCCTCCACCACCACTGCCTTCACCATACCCTTCCCCAGAACCTCCTCTTGACATTTCACCCCCAGTACCCCCACTAGGGCCTTCACTGTAGGCAACAGGATGATGAAATGACTTCTCTTCCCCAAGCATGTAGTTCCTGGAATCCACCAGGGACGATGGTTCTGCAGTAGACTTTACAACCTATATTAAGTCAAAATCTTGAATTTATTTCATAATATCGAAAAAAAGTACTCCCTTCGTTTCACAAAGAATGACCTCCTTTCCTTTTTAGTCAGTTTCAAAAAGAATGACCTCTTTCCTTTTTTGGTAACATTTTACTTTCTGCTTTCCACGTTGGCATGTCTAAGACCACAAGATTAAGGGCAATTTTGTACATTTGACATAACTTTAATTTAGGACCACAAGATTCAAAAGTCTTCTTTATTTACTTAAACTCCGTGCCAAGTCAAATCAGATCATTCTTTGTGAAACGGAGGGAGTAATTAATATCAAGTCGAAACTAAAAATCAATATGATCATTAAAAATAGAAAAATGAAATGAATTAATGTACACACATAAAGGAGAAAAAAATTCAAAAATTGAAGAACAAGGCTTGTTATGTAAGTTTACACCATATATATCCAAAAAAGGGAAAAGAACATTTATAAATACGTATTTGAAATCTTATTAATGATAACTATATATATATTTATGTATAATAACAGTAAATTTCATGAGACTCTAAATATTTTTGCTTAAAGCGTTAATTTTAGTGTCCTTACCTTTGAATCGACCTTCGAAGAAACAAACTTGGTGACACTAAGAAAGCAAAAGAGAGCACATAGAACCATGAGAAGAAAAAACTTAGAGTTAATCATCTCTTGATTGTAATTTTGAAGACAATGAGGAGGGAAGCCTAGTGATATATGTATATATAGAGGTAAAAAAACACAAATTGTTCTCAAGAAAATTTAATTGCCAAGACTTTTGACAGTTGAAAAAGGTTAAGTATTATCAATTGAATTAAGTTACGTTGTTGTGCAGGTTGCATTATTTTTTACTTCTCCGTCCTTTTTTAGTTGTCATATTGCACTTTTTAAAAATTAATTTGACTAATTTTCAAAGTTAAATTATATCAGATTAATTCAATATATTAAACTAAAAATTAAGATATTACTAACTATACGAAAAATATTATAAATTATAATTTTGAAGACAATGAGGAGTGAAGCCTAGTGATATATGTATATATAGATGATTAACAATATAACAACGACATATAGTTAGTGTAATTGTATAAAGTGAGATCTAAGGAGGTAGAAAAATCAATTATTTATTATAGAAAGCACGATGAAACATTTTGAATATTAATTACAACAAGAAAAAATAAAATAAATCAAAGTATAAGAAATAACAAAATTAAAATACAAAAAACTGTAAAAATAATGCTACGACTACTAATATAAATAACTTTACCCTAATTATATTTTCCGCAATTTCCTATCTACAAACATATCCTCGATCAATAATAAGCTAAAACTGCATCATATCGAAGCTGTGTCTATTCTACAGCTTATGAATCATCATCACTGACTCACTGTGCTACCTACCGCCTGGCTTAATGAACTATGCGACAAAAAAGTATTTTGATTGTGTTGGGTTTATAATATTTTTCTTTTTTTGGATTCCTGTACTTTTATTATTTCGTTTTCTGGATTGTTTGACTTAATTTTTATTGAGTCAAAGAGTTATCGGATGCAATTTTTTTATCTTTGAAATAGAAGTAAGGTTGACATATAAACTTTTTTTTTTTAAATTTTACTTGTAAAACTATATTGTATATGTTGCTGATCATGTTTTGAGAAGTCAAAAGTTTTTTTTAAAAAAAAATAAAAAATTGGCGTGTTTGACTTAAATTTCAGAAATAGCAAAGATAATAGACACAATAAGACAGTATAACTATAATTTCGGTAATTACACTCTATATTTATAGTTCCGTTTGCTATATGGAAGCTGCAGTTTGTATATTTCGTTTGCTCGTTTATATATTCGCAAGCTAAATATACAAACAAGATAAGTATATATGAATTCTGTATTTATATATTTAGAAATTAACCCATTTGTATATTTCACTTGCCAATATACAAACAAGGTAATTTATTATAAATCGTATACAAATTGTTAGGGTAAGCATATACAAACTCTGAATTTATAAAATCAGAATCTCAATTATTTAAATTCTGGATTTATATAATCAGGAATCAAATTATATAAATTCTGGATTTATACAATTAAGAAATAGAATAGCAAAAATCGGGAAAACTGTAGCCGCGAATTACAATTTTCTTAAACTGTAGCTATAGTACATACTACATAATATAGGCTAAAGACTTGTTATTAAGCATAAATTTTCCATGGTTAAATGGGCCATCTGACCCACTCAATGATGTTCATGGATCAAACTAAACAGGGCTTTGATCCAAAATAAAGCCCACTATCCATTACCATAAATTTTGTTCTTTCTCCTCTTTCTCTCCTTTCCTTATAAACCTTATCTTATATCATCAAAAATATTCCTTGTTTAAAATTACACCCATTTTAATAGAATTAAAAAAAAAAAAGTTCAATTTCCACCAATATGAAGTGCATTATTAACCTTCACTCTCCAATATTACTAAAATTTTCAACCAACAAATTCACATACCAATACCATAAATCAAAGCCAATTTGTGTATTGGAGCAGCAACATTATAATACTAAATCAGCTACTGGTTTTGTAAAAGGAAAAAGGCCTCTGTTAATTGCTCCACTTAAGGCTGTTAATTCACCTGCTGCATCTGGAGATTTGTCAGTTTTGCTGCAGACTGGGTTGGTACTTTTCTTTATTTTTTTTAATTTTAAGTTTAACTCGTTAGATTCGATAATATATTACGAATTCACATAATATCTTGAACAATTTGAAAAAATGATATATTTGCACATAAATTTCTACTCCCTCTGTTTCAATTTGTTCGCTCTACTTTTTTTTTTAGTTTGTTTAAAAAAGAATGTCAAGTGCGTTTGCTTATGTTTTCTTTACTGGTAACTTGTTTTGACAGTGCAGTAATGCTGTTTATGTACTGGATTGCAAATTTTGTGGTGCCAGAGTTCATCATGAAGGATCTTCAACAAGATGACACTACCACCAACAATAACAAAACTGATGAAAAAGATATTCTATGAAGATTAATTAGCTAGAAGAGCACAAATTCATCTGTTTTGTTGAATGTCTCTTTTGTACTGTTTCGATGAATACAATATTTGGATAGATTTTAATGTGTTCACACCTGTATAAATAATGAACTCAAGTAACCAACTTAACTCCATCAATACACACCAATTATAAACTTAAACAATACGATAATATATTGTAACAAAATTTAAGTAACAATCAAAATAAATACGACAAAAATTACTACTACTGAAACGATGCAACCATATCTTTGAACTGATCAAGGAGTTCATCAACAGTCATGACTTGATGATCACGTTTGTCTCTGACTCGAACGCTAACCTGACCGTTCTTAGCTTCCTCTTCACCTACCACTAGTATATAGTTATATTGTACGAGTTGAGCTTCACGTACCTTTTTCCCAACTGTCTTGTCACTAACATCGATATCAACATGATAACGAGCATCATGTAATCGTTTCCAGATCTCAAACGCGTACGATTGAGATTTGTTTGAAACAGGACAGACAATAGCTTGACGGGGACTAAGCCAGAAAGGCCATTTACCTTTGTAATGCTCAAAGAGTATAGCGAACATTCGTTCAACTGATCCAAGTATAGCTCTGTGTATCATAACTGGTCTTTCTCGAATTTGATCGTATTCTGCTACGTATAAAAGGTTGAATCTTTCAGGAAGCTGGAAATCAAGCTGCAATGTTGCACATTGTAAGTTTCTTTTCATTGCATCAGATACACTGATATCGATTTTCGGACCATAAAAAGCTCCGTCCCCCTTGTTGATCTCCCAGGGCTTTCCGAATTCGTTCAATGCTTCAGCAAGAGCATCTTCAGCCTTCTTCCAACTTTGTAAGTTTCCGATATACTTTTCAGGTCTTGTTGATAACTTGAAGTCAACATTACTGAAACCAAATATGGTATACACATAACTGATGAAATCCAGGACGCCTTTTACTTCGTCCTTGATCTGTGACTCCCTGCAGAAGATGTGAGCATCGTCCTGGTGAAATTGCCTGAGACGTGTTAAACCTGTAAGGGCACCACTAGCTTCGTTCCTGTGAAGAGCTCCGAAATCAGCCAGACGAAGAGGTAGTTCTCTGTAGGAACGAACTCTGTGACCGAATACTTTACAATGTCCAGGGCAGTTCATTGGCTTCAACCCGAATTGATCTACTGCTTTATCATCTATCTCGAACACAAACATGTTTTCCTTGTACTTTGCAGCATGGCCTGAAGTTTCCCATAACTGCATCTTGTATATATCTGGGCTCCAAATCTCCTCGTAGCCTCTTTTCCAGTACTCATTCTTCAAGAATTCGAGTAATTTGTTGCAAATTCGAGCACCATGTGGAAGAAAGAAGCAACTTCCAGGGCTCATTGGATCAAAATAGAAAAGCTCCTGCTTCTTGTTTAGCTCTCTGTGATCATATTTGTTTGCTTCCTCCAGCGTCTCAACGTTTTCCTGACCCATAATTTTGCAATTTGCAAACAAGAAAAAAGTGGAAGGAGGCAACCACAATGAAGGAAAATATGTATTTATAGAGGACTTAGAAAACCTATTTGCATAAGAATTTGACAACAAATTCTTATCCTATACAAATTAGGTATCGTTGCATCCAAAAATAATACCACGTTGGAAGGTTACCATATATTTTTAATAATTACTGGTATTAAAACTTAAGGCAAGCATCTTTGAGGAATACTTTTTCATGAAAAACATGTTTTGGAAAAATGTTTTTCATGAAAAATAACTTCCATCATATAAAATACACTAAGATTCTTCCATTAACTGTTTCGTCACAAGCATCAGCTGAAACCCACAATGCTGGAATATTCATCGGGTCTCTGTGCCTAAACTAGTAACATATATTTATAGTTACATAATGAACAACAATAAAAAACTGTTATTATACAATTGTCC